TTTTTTTTTTTTTTTTTTTTTTTTTTTCTAAAAATAATTGCTCCGACAACGCAGAATTTAGGAATTTCGGCGGGTTTTATGATTGAAAATCTTCGAAATCTGCCGGCACTGTGTTTCACGAGATGATTGAAATTTTTTTGAAAATCCGCCACTACAAAATTCCGGCGGGTTGAAAGCCTTTTGTTTTTGCAATTTTCAGCTTGACAAGTTTGTAATTCCATTTTTCAGAGATTAAGCGAGAACTGCACCGATCCAAGGACGTAAAACTGCACAGCTAAAGCTCCACGCTGCGTCGCTGCTGACCGTCCTCGTCGCTGAAAATTCAAACTAAACAGCCAATCTACATCACAAACACGCTCGTGCCCAGATTCACGCATTCGTATCGTTGCCACGGTAATCATAATCCAACAATTATCTATCCAAACACGGTGTAAGACCACCGTCGAAACTGCCTGCTTCATACGTGGTTTTCCTCCGTTGGTGGACGCCTGTGGCGACTGGTTTGGCAAAGTTTGCGGACTCGTGAGCTCCACGCCGGCACGTGTGCCGTATATTAATAGACAATTGTTGCAGAAACATAGGGACGCAGGCCTCAAAGGCGTCCACCGTGCCCAAGTCGTCCGTTATCAGAATTCCACTCACGCGCTCTCAGATCTGCGTTGTCCTTCCTCCGTCGTCGCGCCGATCCGCGATAGACGAGCGGAGAATTAATGTTTGATCAATATCAAGCTGGATTACGGTAGACCTTTGGTTACTTTATCGGCGTTATCAATCCGCCAACTCGAGAAAGTCTCCCTCGACCTAGTTGGTCGATCCGACGTGTTTTTCTCGCTTGGCCATTTTGCGATTAAGTTTGAAATCGTTGGACTGAGATTGAGATTCTTGGAAGTTTGGTGAGAATTTCGGTTTGCCAGAATTCTTGAAAATTCGTGGAATTCTAGGACACTTTGAACTTTTGCTCGCGTAGAATTCGATGAGTCTGCGATTCGAACTTTCGTCGAAATTTTCCAATGAAGGATTCGACCAC